TCAGGTGTTCAGGTGTTCAGGTGTTCAGTTCAGGTGTTCAGGTGTTCAGTTCAGGTGCTCAGTTCAGGTGTTCAGTTCAGGTGTTCAGGTGCTCAGTTCAGGTGCTCAGTTCAGGTGTTCAGGTGCTCAGTTCAGGTGTTCAGGTGCTCAGTTCAGGTGTGCAGTGCCAGGGGGGCACAGGGGCTGAGCCGAGGCTTCCCCAGCTCTGTCTGATCCCATCCCTGCCTTTCTGCTGACCCTGGCTTTACTCTGGCTTTACTCTGGCTTTACTCTGGCTTTACTCTGACTCTCCTCTGGCTTTACTGGGTCAGGGACTCTGCCCTTGCCCCAGAGGCCAGGCCAGGGCACAGCAGTGAAAGTTCTGCACAATTCCCTGTCCTGGGCTGACTCGTGGCTCTGCTGCCTGCAGGGTGTTTAATCCTGCCCTGTGTCTGTGGGGGGGAGTTTGGTTTTAATTCATTTGTTTTAACTTTGTGTTCCACTAAGGGAGGAGCTGAGGGGATTCACCAGTTCTTGGGAATAAAGATGATTTTATTCCCAGAGCACTGGATTTGGTGTGCTCAGGGTTAGGGTGAGGGTCTCTGTTCCTGCTGAGCAGAGACACAACTCACACTTTTTTTTTTTTTTCCCCCACTCTGAGCTGCCACCATTAACTGGGAGCACCAGGGGCTGATTTTGTGACAGGTTCTGTGCAGGAGGTCAGAGCAGGGAGAGAGAGCAGACTCCTCTGGGGCTTAAAAATCAATGAGTGTGTGATTAAATGGCCCAGGGAGGCTGGACACTGCAGGCTGAGGGAAAAGCAATGATATTGGTGGTGTTTTATGTGGAAGCTGCAGCAGGAATTGCTCAGGAATTCCTTTTAGAACCCCCAAATTCACCAAATAGAGATTTTATTTTTCCAGGGGCTGGACTGGAGTGGCTGTTTGTTTAGAAACTAAATGTTTCTTTAGAAATCAGTTATTTTTATTTATTTTTTTAAGTGCTAACCAGGGAATGTGAGCAGCCCTGTAGCAGCCCTGCCACTTTTATATAACTTTTATA